GGCTGCATCCTGGCTTAGCTATTCTTCCCAGCCTCGTGACTTCAGAGAGGCCCCTTCAACCCTCTGAGCCACAGGCTCTCTGTATTGAAAGTGAGGATGGGAATATCAATTTTACCTGGTCCTGGGGAAATTAGACTTAATGTACATAGAAAGCCTGATACATAGCAGGTTCTCAATGACTCATAGCCATGGCTATTGATCTCTGTTAACAACATGACACAAGTATAGGAGTGCAAACTTGCATCCATCCACAGAATGGACCAGGGCCCCAGGATGCTGGGCCTCACCCTCTTGGGAGCTGTTTTCAGAGGAGGAGAAACAGAAAATGCAGGGAGCCAAAGGGCTTGCCCTGGGAGCGGCCAGGTCTGGTTTTGTATGTCAGAGGATCAAGGGTGGGTGGAATCCTACAGTTCAGGGACTCTTTCCTGGAAGGGGCTGGATTGGCAACAAAAGACTCCCTCCCTTGGAAAGTAGCCTCACAGCTGTCAGGAAAAAACAGCTGTGTGGCTTCCTGTCAAGGAGGTAAGACCTCAGTCCTGTGGGGAAGCAGAGCAAGACATGATGGAAAACAGGAACTCCCAGGCCGGTTATCTAGCAGCGATGGACTGGGTTCAAAGCCCAGCTCTGCTGCTTGCTGGCTGTGTGACCTTGGGCAAGTCACTTCACCTCTCTGAGCCTTAGTAACATCATGTTTTAAATGCGGATAATGATGCTCATCTCACAAGGCTACTGGGAGAAGAGGAAAAGATATTAAATCGAAAATGCCTTGCTCAGTGCCTGGTACCCTGGAAGCACTTAATAAATTGTCATTGTAAATCACTCATCCCTAGGGCTTAAAATGAACCCCTGTTTCTTCTCTTAAGAGACTTCTAAATATCGGAGGCTCCATCGTCTCTTGTTTTCCCTGCATCGACTCCCTGGATGGGCTTGTCCTCTTCCACAGCATTAAACACTGTTCCATGACATCAGCTCTGGAGATGGCACTTGAAACCAGACACCCTTGCTATTACCCTAAACGGCACCCCCACCCCCAGCCCTTCCCATTTTGGGAAGGGGCCTCCATTTGGTTGTAAGATCTTTTTTGTGTGTGTGAGTACATAGATAGATAGATAGATAGATAGATAGATAGATAGATAGATATAGATGGGGTACAGGAGATGTTTTGATACAGGCACGCAATGTGAAGTAACCACATCATAGGGAATGGGGTATCCATCCCCTCAAGTGTTTATCCTTTGAGTTACAATTCAATTATATGCTAACTTATTCTAAAATGTACAATTAAGTTACTATGGCTATAGTCACCCTATTGTGCTATCAGATAGTAGGTTTTTTTTTTTTTTTTTTTTTTTTTTTTTTTTTGAGGCGGAGTCTTCACTCTGTCGCCCAGGCTGGAGTGCAGTGGCACCATCTCGGCTCACTGCAAGCTCCGCCTCCCGGGTTCGCGCCATTCTCCTGCCTCAGCCTCCCGAGTAGCTGGGACTACAGGCGCCCGCCACCGCGCCCGGCTAATTTTTTGTATTTTAGTAGAGCCGGGGTTTCACCGTGTTAGCCAGGATGGTCTCGATCTCCTGACCTCGTGATCCGCCCGCCTCGGCCTCCCAAAGTGCAGGGATTACAGGCGTGACAGATAGTAGGTCTTATTCATCCTTTCTATTTTTATTGTACCCAGTTAAAGGATCTTGATTATTGTCTTTCCCCCAAGCCCTCAAGTCCAACCCACCAGGAGGTCCTGATGGCTCCATCATCAGCATGTATCTCTCATCTCACCCCTCCCCACCTCCACCGCCACTGCGACGGTCCAACCTGCCATGCTCCCAGCTCTCTGCTGCACAGACCCCTCCCCACGCTCCCTGCTCTCACTCTCGCCCCTTCTACAGTCAGCTCTCCACACAGCAGCCTCACCTTTTTCTTTTAACTTTTAACAGAAATCCTAGACTTACAGAAAAATGGCAATAGTACAAAGCCTTCCCACACAGCCTTCCCTCTACTCCCCACATTTGCTTGTCTCTTTCTATCTACAGAAGTATTTTTTCTAGAACATTAGAGTCAGTTGCAAACATGATGCCCCTTTGCCGCTAAATACTCTAGTGGGACATTTCGACACACAAGGACACTCACATGGCCGCAGCACGGTGATCAAAAGCTGCGCTTGTGACACCGTCCTGGCAGCGGATCTGCAGCCCTGTTCACTGCTGCCTGTCTCCCAGAAGGAGCGTCTGGCTCACGCATCACCTTCTGTCCTCCTGCCTCTTCAGTCTCCTTTACCTGGGAGCAGTACCTTTGTCTGTCTTCACCTGTCACGACCTTGGCATTTTGAGTACAGTCCAATTATTTTACAGCACATCCCTCAATTTGGGCTTGTCTAATATTTCCTCACACAGTGAGCTTTTAAAAGGAATAGGGAACTGGGCATGGCGGCTCACACCTGTAATCCCAGAACTTTGGGAAACCGAGGTGGGTGGATCACTTGAGGTCAGGAGTTCGACACCAGCTTGGCTAACATGGTGAAACCTCGTCTCTATTAAAAATTAAAAAATTACCAGGCATGGTGGCACGTGCCTGGAATCCCAGCTACTCAGGAGGCTGAGGCAGGAGAATAGCTTAAACTCAGGAGGTAGAGGTTGCGGTGAGCCGAGATTGTGTCACTGCACTTTAGCCTGGGAGACAGAGCGAGACTCCATTATAAAAAAAAAAAAAAAAAAAAGTGAAATAAATAAATACATAAATAAGGTATAGGAGATCTCCTGACTTGCCGGCTCTCAACCCTGCAATGGCTGGCTGCCACATCCTGAGAAAATGCCAACTCCCCACCAGGCCCTTCACCAGAAGGGCTTTGCCCGACTCTCTCCCTCTGCTCTCTCGACACCAGCAATCTGACCTCTGTCCTCAGTGCCCTGGCCCTGCCACTCCTCTCTGGGGACTGATGGGAGGTTTGAGGGGGCTACCTGTCTTCTCACTTCTCACTGACCATTGGCTCACATGAGTGCCCCCTCTCTCCAAGAAATTATCTTAACCTATCCCATGTGATATTGTAGAATTTGTCTTGAGCCCTGGTGTGTGACAGGGAAGACCCAGAAGGGACTCCTTTGTATGACACAGGTAGACCTGGCGTGTCATGCCCTGGTGTTTCTTTTCAGCTGTGTGTCCTTAGACAAGTTACTTAACATCTCTGATCCTCTATTTCCTCATCTAGAAAGAGGGAATAGGAAGAAGAATTGAGATAGTGAACGTAAAAGTACCTGACACGTAACAGGGTCGTCTTGTCTCCGGATGGTGAAATTAGACCCATTGCGTCTTCTGGAGAAACTGGAAGGGGCTTGTAGTGGGTTGAATGGTGGCCACCCCAGAAGATATGTCCCTGGAACCTGCTAATGAAACCTTACTTGAAAAAGGCACCTTTGGGCCGGGCACAGTGGCTCACACCTGTAATCCCAGCACTTTGCGAGGCTGAGGACAGTGGATCACCTGAAGTCAGGAGTTTAAGACCAGCCTGGCCAACATGGCTAAATCCCATCTCTACTAAAAATATAAAAATTAGCTGGGCGTCGTGGTGGGTGCCTGTAATCCCAGCTACTCGGGAGGCTGAGGCAGGAGAATCACTTGAACCTGGGAGGCGGAGGTTGCAGTGAGCCAAGATTGCTCCACTGCACTCCAGCCTGGGTGACAGAGTAAGACTCTGTCTCAAAAAAAAAAAAAAAAAAAAAAAAGAAAAGAAAAGAAAAGAAAGAAAAAAGAAAGAGGCATTTTTGTCAATGTATTTAAGTTAAGGATCTTGAGATGAGATTATCCCGGGTTGTCCAGTGAACCCTGAATCCAGTGACAAGTGTCTTTAAAAGAGACACACAGAGGAGAAGACAGACACAAAGAGGAGACGGTGATGTGAAGATGGGGGCAGAGATTGGAGGGGCACATCTACAAGGCAAGAAAACCAAGGATGGCTGGCAGCCTCCAGAGGCTGGGAGAGAGACCCGGGCTGAGATGGCCTCAGAGCCTCTGGAGGGAGCCTGGCCCTGCCGACACCTCAGTTTTGGAGTTCTGACCTCCAGAACTATGAGAAAATAAATTTCTGTTGTTTGAAGCCACCGAGTTTGCGGTAACTTCTCATGGCAGACCTAGGAAATTAACATAGGAATGAATTTGGGCAAAACAACAGCGGAAGGTCCTTGTCCGGTGGAGCCCTTCCTGGATGGCACTGTCCGCACCCAGGGCTTCATTCCTTCTCCATAGAGGCAGGAGTGGAGGGGGCCCTGAGGACTGAGAGTAGGAAGTGGCCCAGTCAGAAGTCTTCTGAGCCAGGGGTCTCCCAGTGCCCCCTCCTTCTCTCCCTGGAGTGTCCCTTTGAAAGGGCAAACATGAGAGAGTGGCTCAGTCCCTGGAGCATCCCAGGCTGCTTGGATCCAGGCGGAGTGGAGTTGGGGAGATGGCTGTTTGCAGAGGTTGTTCGGGGGTGCTGACTGCCAGCACCCAGGGGTCTTGGGGATCTTGGGGGCCAGTGGGATGTTATAGTTCCCTTGCCGTGGTGGTGGGAAGAGGGGGCCATTAATCTGTGGAAACAGGGTGGTCCTCCTGTAGCTCACTGCTTAGACAACATGGGAAGACATTCTGGGGTCCTTTTCAGACAGTTCTGCTCATGATACCCATCTGTCTCCAAATCTTCACCGTTTCCACCACATTACACACTCTCCCAGACAACGCTTGCCCAGAGAACTCGGCATCCTTAGCTCGAATCTAACACTTGACTGCATGGCTCATGCCTGGGCTCAGTAATTTCTGTGGAGCTCTAGGAAGCAGGTGCAGGCAGCATGGAGCCCATGGCCACAGGTCCTTGGTGTAATCTGTTGCCCAGGCTTAGGTTTACTCTCATACAGGGATGTCCCCCGAGTCTCTGCCGTCCTCTAAATGAAGGCTCCAAAGCTCTGTGTGAGTAGATCATAGGCGAGGTGGGGCTTGAGACCCCACTTCCTTTGCAATGTTCACTGCCTGAGCTTTTTTCCCCCTGGGAAAAGCCACTCCCCTCTTGGTGCAAGTCAGCTGCGTCAGAAGCAGGCTATGGCACCCACGGCAGCCTCAGATTCTCCCCACCGCGCCCCCACTTCTGTCAGGGCCGGCTCAGGGGCTGCTGCTGAATTCCCATGCGAGGCTCACTCGGCGGTCAGGAAGAGGAAAGCTGCTCTGGGAATAGCAAACTCCAGGGAGCCAGGATTACAGGCACGTGGGGGAGGCAGCGGAGGTGGCTGTTTCACACTCTGTCACAATGGAGGTAGCAGTTTCCTTTTGAGGGACTGGAAATGTGACCTACTTCCTCGTAACAAGGATGCTGCGTCAGCACTTGGATGGAAAACACAGGTGAAGGATGTGCTCCTCCCCAGACAGAACAAGAAAGAAAAAGGTCTGTGCCCTCGTTTTCAGCATGCATTGTTCTCCCTGCCTGAAACACTCCTGCTCAGCTTTTCCATCTGCAAAACCCCTCTTTGTGCTTTGTAAGCCAGCTGGAGGAATTTCCCTAGGGAAGCCTGCCGTGACCTGTCCATGCTCTGCTGCCCATGCTGGGGGAAAAGTCAGAGCCTTTAGAGTTGGATACTGGGCTGTTTTGGCCATCTGAGAAAGGGGCCATGTTTGCTCTGAATGTGGCCCAGCCCCTAGCACTGTGGCCTGCACACAGCAGGTACTCAGTAATGTTTGCTTATCAGCTGTGGAAGGTGGGCAGGTGGATTAAACTCTCTGAGCCTTGGTGTTTTCATCTGACCATAGGACTAGTATATAATAGCTGCCTTTATCAAACCCTTTATATTGACGCATTTAGGAGGTAGGGGCTATGGTTAGTCGCATTGTGCAAAAATGTAAAAAACTTATCCAAGGTCTCACAGCTGGTAAGTGACCAGTATACCTCCTCATACCTTGTTTGAGGACCAAATGTGTGTGTGTGTGTGTGTGTGTGTGTGTATATGTGTATCTAATTCAGAGCAGTCAGTGTTTGGTACATGGTAACTGCCCAATAAATGGTAGTTGTTTTGTTTATTACCACTGCTGTCCTACTACTGCTCCCAGCATCTCCCCAGGCACTGATCACATCATGTCATACAGTCTTGTCCAATTCTCCCTGAGGCAGGAGATCTCTGTGCACAGGTCTGCCCAGACTAGATGCTAATTACATGCTAAAGGCATGAATACAATGAATGAGGAGGTGACTTTAAACCCAATTTCAACTCCTTAACTAAAAATGTAGTTCCCAGTGAGTATCGAAGACACTTCTATAAAAGCTCATTGTCATTGCTAAGTAAAATTTCATTGTAATCATCTCTGCAGTGTGCAGAGAATTTTTCACATTGGAAAATTCTTTCAAAACTGTAATGTCAGTTGATCCACCCAGACATGTGGTACAGAAGGGCACTGTGACTGTTTTGCAAATATAGTTGGCACCTGTTTTGTGAAGGAGGTGGTTAACGGAACTTTTGCTAATTGATGTCCAATTCATGCTCTACAACATCCTCTGTGCAATCTGGGGCAAGTCATTTCTCCATTCTGAGCCTCAGTTTCTACATTAACAAAATGTAAGTAATCCTATGTACTCATGTTGACCTAAAGGAAGAAATTTAGGCAAAATTAATATAAGTAGAGAGTTTATTTGGGTTAAATTTGAGGACTGCAACCTGGAAAACACTTCACGTTACCTTGGGAAGTGCTCCAGAGAATAAAGGAGAGGCCCCAGCTTTAAAAGAAGACAGGGCGAATCAGGAGATGGGGTGATTCCAAAAGGTGTTTCTTGGGAATCCTCATAGGTTAGTAGAAATAACATTGATTAGTAATTGGCTATATATTAATATAGGCTATGTGTTATAATGTCAATGTGCAACATTGTTAGGTTAATTTATAGTTTCTTGGGGCATTAGTGAGTCTAGAGTCCAAATAACAAGTGGCTTCAGGAGATGATTATTTAGCTCAAGGGAGTGGGGTGGGATGTGACTACTGTCTCATTCCAATGCCTCCCTGGGCCTGATAATTTAAAGGGGGCTCACATTCCTCAGATAAAAAAGTTTCTTTGCTTTCTCACCCAATAGAGCTGCTGTGAAGCTTGCATGAGACACTATATATATAGGAGGGCAGTTAATTAGGACCAAACCATCCAAAGAGGATGATGGGAAAAGCTATATGGAAAATAACATCTTAAATGTATCAAAGAGCTAATAAGAGAATAAATAATTAGCTGACTAAAATCTAGTAAAAAATGAGAACCCAGAGAAGTAAGCTTAATAGGTAAAGCTGTATTTTCCCTAAGGACATTTACTAATCCAGAAGAAACAGTTATAGTCTTGATGGCCTCAGGAAAAAAATATAAGGTCCAGAGTCTACCAAAAGTGGGGCCTGTGATAACTGTTCCTCTTTCCTTCCTTTCAGCTGGGATCCCAAATGGCTACCTCTGAAAGTTATGATGAAGCATAAGTAAATGAACTCCCACAGACTTATAGGTTCTAGTCATCTGGGTCATCCAGAAAACCACAAACCTAGAACTTGAATTAAGGCGGTTCCATGCTGGTAGAGTTCCCAGACTCTTGGTAAAAGCAAACAAAAATCCTTTCTGCAGAAAAATAGTACCATTTTAGGTAACAAATCATTCTTACAAATAATTTTTCAAATCAAATGTCTGGCACACAGTGAAAAATAGTCAGGTACTTAAGGAAATAAGACACTTGAGTGAGAACAACAGAAACACACACAAAACTTTAGTTATTAGAATTGTTAGACACAGACTACAAGGAAAATGTGTATCATGCTTAAAGAAATACTGGGGGGCAAAAAACTATGAGAAACCATACTGTAAATTAAGAAAAATAAAATAAACTTTGAAGGCTAAATAATAAAAAATTAAGAACTTACAGTCTGTTTAATGGTACAATAGATACAGCTGAAGAGAAAATTAATTAACTGGAAGGCAGATCAGAAGAAAGTATCCAGAATGCATCCTGAGAGACAAAAAGACTAAATATATTTAAGAAAGAATGATAAAGCACAGTGAGAACATCTAACTATTGTAATTGGAGTGGAGTTCTAGAAAGAAAGAGAAATATAAAGAGATGATGGCTGAGAATTTTCAGGTCTGTAGAAAAAAACCAATTTGAATATTCATGAATTCAAGAAGCCCAAGTAGGATACAAAAAAAAAAAAAATCTATATCTAGGTATATCATAGTGAATCTGAAGAAAACCACAAAGAAAACAATCTTAAAAGAAGCTGGAGAAAAGGGATAGTATTTTCAAAGGAGTGACAGAACAGCTGACTTTTCTCAATAGCAACAATGGAAGCCAGAAAACAGCAAAATAATATCTTTGATGTACTGGGAAAAGTACCCCAAACCCCTAACTTAGTATTCTATACCCAGGGAAATATCCTATAGAAATGGAAGTAAAATAAATGCAATTTTTGAACAAACACCCCCCAGATAATTGGTCACCAGTAGACATTCACTAAAGGTATTCTTCAGAGGAAATAATCCCAGACAGAAGATCAGAAATGAAAGATGAGCAACAAAAGAAAAAAATAGGTAAATTGGGTTTCATGAAATTGAAAATATTTTATGCTTCCAAGAACTCTATAAAAAAGAAGACAACCCACAGGATAGGAGAAAATATTTGCAAATCATATATCTTATAAAAATGTATATTTAGAATATATTAAAAACTCTTACAACTCAATAATAATAATAATAATAAATAACCCAATTAAAAAATGAACAAAGGATCTGAACAGACATTTTTCCAAGGAAGATATATAAGTGGCCAATAAGCACATGAAAATATGTACAATTTTATCAGTCATCAGGGAAATACAAATCAAAACCCTTCAGATACCTCTTCATACCCACTAGAATGGCTAAAATAAAGTGAAAGAATAACATGTTGGTGAAGATGTAGAGAAACTGGCATTTTCATACACTGCTAGTAGGAAAGTAAAATGGCACAGCTACTTCAGAAAAAGTTTGGCAATTCCTCAATAATTAAACATAGAATTACCATATGACTCAGCAATTCCACTCCTAGGTATATGCCCAAGAAACGAAAATACATGTTCTCCCAAAAACACGTACACATATTTATAGCAGCATTATTCATAATAGCCAAAAGGTAGAAACAACCCATATGTCCAGCAATAGATGAATGGCTAAAAATGTGGTATATCCATACAATGGAATGTTGTTTGGCCATAAAAAGAAGGAGGGGGACTTCTAGTTTCTAGTCCATCATATAAGGAGCTTAGAAGTTGCCACTCTGTCTTAACAAGTAAAAAGCTGAACAAACGGAAAAATAACTCTTTGTGGATCTGTAAGAGAAGTGAGGTCACTGGGCAAACTGCTGCCCCCAAACTGGAGAGACAGATAGGTGAATATAGAGAATCACAACTTACCAGAGCAGAAACCCATGAGTAGAAACCTCCGTGAGAGTCAGTGCCAGGACAGGAAAAACTGTAACTGGTGAATTGCTGGAGGCTTAGTGTGGAGTCTTAGTTTGACAGTTAAAACTCCAGGGGAACCCAGTCATAGAGGGACCACCATACTTTTGGGAGTTTTATCTCCAGGAGCTCTACTAGGTCATCACAGTGAAAAATCAGAGAGAAAATCCCCTCATGCTTCCAGCAGGGGACGGAGAAATGAACCATTTTGAAATACCCCAGAGCAGGGGTCCCCAACCCCCGGACTGTGGACCGGTACTGGTCCATGGCCTGTTAGGAACTGGGCCATACAGCAGGAGGTGAGCGGCAGGTGACCAAGCATTATGGCCTGAGCTCTGTCACCTGTCAGATGGGTGGTGGCATTAGATTCCCATAAGAGTGTGAACTCTATGGTGAACTGCTCATGCAAGGGATTTAGGTTGCATGTTCCTTATGAGAATGAAGGCCTGATGATCTGAGGTGGAACAGTTTCATCCCAAAACTATCCCCTGCCCAACTCTGTCTGTGGAAAAATTGTCTTCCACGAAGCCTGTCCCAGGTGCCAAAAAGGTTGGGGACCACTGCCCCAGAGCATTATGCTCTTAACAGGGGTTACCTGCAGAAGAAACTATTTTACCAGACTCTAATCTGCTGGGCTATGTCAGAGCCTAATTGACCTGGAGAAAGAGAAATACCCAGTTCCAGCCAGCTTTAGTCATCTTGTCACACATGGGGGAAAAAAAAAACTGAGAGGCATTGATGAAGTTCACAGTCCAGAGGTACACATTCATTAAAAGACTGAGACCTAGGCCACATGTGGTGGATCGCTCCTGTAATCACAGCACTTCGGGAGGCCGAGGTGGGTGGATCACCCGAGGTCAGGAGTTCAAAACCAGCCTGGCTAACATGTTGAAACCCTGTCTCTACTAAAAATACAAAATTAGCTGGGCGTGGTGGTGCATGCCT